TCTTTTGTAAATTTGAAGTTGCATATTTCCCTTCGCCGATTTTCTGGTATTTTTTCAGAATCTATGAAAAACTTCCATAGTTTGCATCTTTCAGAACTTTTGTGTTCCTTTCTGTCGTGCTGGTTGTTATCACCTTGTCCTCCTCCTTTTCCTTCCTTTGCTACTTGACATTTTAGCGTTTTTCATTTTTTTGACCAAATGAGGGGGGGAAACTCCCCTTCTTCAGCTCTGTATTTTAAAGGGAAGAGGGAGGAAGATCCTGATTTTTTCAAAAAGATTCCTCATGGTGCTCGTTTTTGGCTTTGAGGGATTCCCAGGACCGAAGAAAAAGAGCAGAAAGCTGTGATTCGAGGTTGCCGTGGTGGTAAATCTCAGAGTGTGTCCGGGATGTCGAGTAGAGGGTTGTGGCATCCCCGAGGTAGAGGCTCGTTTCGCCGGGTTAGGGGTCGTCATAATGAAAATAAGCGCTCTTCATACCCATTTCCCCAACCCGGAGTTGAGCCTTCTAGCCGACCTACCATTCATCTGAGATCTCTGTCTCATACCCAAGCTTCACCACCTTCTTCTATCCCCAGGAATGTTCCTTGTTACTCTTGCGTTTTCTTGAGTTCAAAGCTTGTCGAGCAAGGTTGCGACTCTTTGGCCGAGTCCACGTTGGTTACTTGCCGACATAGAGGTAAACCTGTTTGTCCATCAGGAGGAGCAGATGATCCTATTATGATTTCCGATATGTCATCATCATCATCACCTAGTGATTCTTCTGATAGCCTTTGTGACTCAGGTATTCTGATTCTTTCCTGATTCCTGCCTTTCTATATTTTTAGGTTTTATGGCATCCCTTCCTCCAAAGGTAGTAGAAGAGTCGAGTTCTACCGAGTCATATCCCCCATGTCCCTCGTCCGCTTTAATAACCCAGTTTCCCTGGGTTACTCATGAAGTTTTGAGTATTGTTTCGGAGATGGGTTCAGACGACGTTGCAGCCCTTCCGGTGGTGGAGTTAGAGAACTTCAACATAGTCCCCCTCACGAAAAGATGAACCCGTCTGCTCTAGTAGGAGGTCAGGAGAGCCCCATTTCTTTTTCTTCTTTCGAGATGTCGTGACGCAACTTGGCGTCCGCTTTCCATTAACCGACTTTCAAATCGATCTTCTGAATCACCTTCAGATAGCTCCCGCCCAGCTTCATCCCAATGGTTGGGGCTTTATTAAAGCTTTTGAGCGCTTCTGCTCGTATCTGGCTATTCCGGCCTCTGTATGTGTTTTTTTTTTTAAGTGCTTACTCCTCGAACCGGTCGGGACCCGGTTGACCGAAAATGGTGGGTTACCATTCGAGGTATCCCTAAGTGTAAACTTTTTCATGTTTATATTGATTCTTTTAAAAATTTTAAAGACAAGTTCTTTAAAGTTTCTGCCCATCCTGGAAAGAGCGTGTGGTTTGTTGACACTTAACATGCTGAGGATGGTGAAGGAAAATTTCCCTTGCACTGGTCTTTTGACCATTATCCACTTCCCTCCTCCAGTTACCGTTTCCAAGGTTGCCAGCTGTGTTCATCTGATATTGACCGTGCCATTGCCATTGGCACGTATCTCCTGTCACATAAGCATGCTAGTGTCGCATCCCTTCTTTTCAAGTCCCAAGAGGATCTGGATGCTGAATTAAGTATGGGTTATTTTCTCCAACCTTATACCTTCATATTTGTTATGCTGTCTTTGATAATAGTATCTTATTATTTCTTTTTGTAGTACCCGACATGGATAACCAACAAAACGATCCTCCTAGCTGGTTGGTGGCGCTGAACCAAACCAAAGCTGGCTCCGCCAGGTTGGTGAAGAAAAGGAAGGCCTCAGAGATTTCTCAGGGCAATCCGGGTAATGCAAAGGATTCGTCAACTGGAGCTGCTGCCGCGGTCAGTGCCAAAGATAAGTTGAATGCTGCTGATGTTCGTGCTTCCACTAGTGCCCATCAAACTATGAAAGCCCATCCTCCTCCTCCTGCACCCGAGTTTGTTAAGCACATGGTATGGCAAGGCAGAACAAATAATACTCTCTGGGATGCAATATGTGCCCCAGAGTTTTTCTACAACTCGTCCGCTCTTACCACGGCCCAAGTTAGGGAAGTGGAAGAATTGGAACTTTGTTGTTTGAAGATGGCCGGGTTGGCTAGGCCCTTGCTTACTCTTAAGCAAAAGTATCTGCGTTCATTAAGTAAGGCATATGCATCCCAGGAGGAGAAGGCCAAAACTTATGCTGAACTTCTGAAGGTGAAGGATGATTTGTCCTATTTGAAAAAGGACTATGATGACACCACTGCCAAGCTGACCAAGATTAAGGCTGAATACAGGAAGTTTCGAGATGAGAAGGCTACTGAGGCTGTAAGGATGTATGACTTCCGGAGGATGTACGAAAAAATGGAGGATAAGCTGAAGGAAGTTGAGCGTAATGCCCAACTCTACCAAGGTGAACTTGAGAAATCAGTCACCGGGTCCTTCTACAATGCCCTGAATCAACTCCAAGTATTGAATCTGGATGTTCCTTTGAACCTAGTTGTCTTGAATGCTCGTGCTTATGTTAGCAATGGCCAAATCATTTCTCCAGCTGCCACCTCTCCTTTCCGTGTTTCGGCTACACAATCCGACAAAGGCGCTACCGTTGAAGATGGTGAGGAGGCAACTAACCAGCCCGCAAAGGAAGTTGAGTCGGCCAATCAATCTGGCAAGGAGGTCCTGGTGTCAGAAGATCCTCCTGCCAGCAAGACTACATGAACGGCCGGAATGCCGGTTGGCTTTGTAATTTGTTTGGGGCATTGGGCCTCGTTTTGATTTATCCTGAATATTGTCGGTTTTACTCCAGTTTTAATTTTGCTCATTAAGCATTTCTCTTTTCTTCGCATTTCCTGCTTTATGATTGGACGTTTTGCATTTGTTATTTTCGATTTCACCATAGATGCATTTTATGTAGGTATTCGAGTTTGCATAACCCGGTATGTCGTTACAGAGCCGCATTCACTTTTGTTAAAAGTCTAGCTCGTGTTTGCATTATCTAAGCGAATAAGTTAGCCTTTTTGCGCATACGTTAGTCCTTGTCTGATTTGTCCCTTAGCATGCTACTCGGGTCGCAACTCGGATTATCTTTCCTTTCAAAATGCGACTTTTTCCAGGTTATTTAAGAAATCTTATTCAAGTTGAATTCCGAGTTTACCGGATGCAACTCCAACTTGAATACATGTATCTAACCCGTGCATTTTATGGGTTTTATACTGGTTTTACTTGAGTATCTTACACCACTTATTGGTGTAATCTTTCAACCCAATGTAGTTTACTAAACCCGTGCATCTTACGAGTTCTTTGTTCATGACCTGGCCAAGGTCAAAGCATTGTACGGGTTCCGCTTTATGTCATTCTCGATGACGCATGTTTGTTTAACTTACTCGTTCTGGTAAGCCTGTATGAATAATGGATCTCGTCTTTGTTGACTTAACCATTTAATTGAACTTGAACTTCATAATTCAATTTTATCTAAGGTAAAAACAATAATGTCATTGGTCCCTTTTGGTATCTTGACCAAAATGGGGAACATTTCGACCTGATCAGAGTCATTACGACAAATTGTATTTGTACCTCAGATTTTGTATTGATACATAAAAAATAGATAAGGATAGATCTTTAAAAAGAAAAATTCCTCATTTATTGATTATCAAATTGCGAGCTACATGAATTTTCCGGCATATTCGGTTTTAATTAAATCCCTAATAGAGGAAAATGTAATTGAATAGTACTGCAAGTGGGTGAAGGTGGATCCCGGATTTAGCTGTAGTATATCTTGAGCTTATCCGCATGTCAAGTTCTCTTGATTCCTTTGCCTTCTATTGTTTCTAGGACGTAAGCTCCTTTCTCGAGTTTCTCTTTAACCCGATACAGGCCTTCCCAGTTTGCAGCTAGCTTTCCATCTCTGGTATTTTTATTGTCAATATCTGCTCTCTTTAGTACCAAGTCATTTTTCTCAAAGATTCTTGGTCTCACTTTTTTATTATACTTTGTCGTTGTTTGTTGTTTGCTCATTATATCCCCGCAGTGAGCTGTAACCCTGGCTTCATCTACAAGATCTAACTCTTCAGTAAGCAGCTTGTTGTTTTGTTGCTCGCCCTGTTCAAGACTATTCAGTCTTCTCTAGGAGGGTTCTCCATCTTCCACCGAAATCATGGCTTCACATCTATACGTTAGTCTGTAAGGGGTTTCACCTGTCGCAGTTTGGGTACTTGTTCTGTAACCCCAAAGGACAAAGTATAGCTGTTGAACCCAGCTTTCTTCAGCAACAAACATTCACTTTTTGAGACCGTTCACAATCACTTTGTTGGCTGCTTCGGCTTGCCCATTCGATTGTGGGTGTTCCACAGATGCGAAGCGATGTGTGACTTGCAGGTCTTTCATTAACTGTTGGAATCTCTTATCAGCAAACTGTGTTCCATTATCAGTGACTACCTCGGTTGGTATTCCGAATCTGGAAACAATGTTCCGTTCAAAGAAATTTTACACTCTACCCGAGGTGATTGTGGTGACTGGCTCTGCTTCTATCCATTTAGTGAAATAATCCACAACCACTTAAGTTGCCCCTCAGCAGCTTTGAAGGGTCCTAGTAAATCCATACCCCATTTGAAGAAGGGCCAAGGAGCCGAGATGCATTTCAGTTCTTCAGGTGGTGAAAGGATTAAACTGGCATGCTTCTGGCAGCTGACACATTTCTTGACGTGTTTTTTAGAGTCTGCCTCCATTGTCGGCCAGTAATAACCAGCTCTAAGGGCTTTTCTAGCCAGGGCTTTTCCTCCCATGTGATGGTCGTTGATTCCTTCATGGATCTCGGCGAGGACATATTCTGCTTCTTCTAAGCTCAAACACTTTAGCATGGGGATGTGCAAACCCTTTCTAAATAGCTGGTCATTCATAATTGTGTATTGTGTCGACTCTCGGACCAGCTTTCTAGATTCCAGACGATCTTCTAGAAATATTCATTTTTCCAGGTAATCCACTATGGGTTTCCTCCAGGTTATCACCATCACACAACTCGACATTGTTATGCTTTGTTGAACCACAGTTCTGTGGTTACCCGAACTTTTAGTGCTTGCCAGCTTTGACAAGATGTCAGCTCGGCTATTCTCCCTTTGAGGGATGTGAGTGACCTGCACCTCATCAGAATCAGCCATCATTTCCTGAACTTTACTCAAGTATTTCATCAACAGAGGACCTTTGTCCTGGTATTTTCCTTCTATCTGCGAAGTCACCAGCTGTGAGTCACTGAAGACTTGAACCTTTCTAGCTCCGTGTTCTTTAGCCTGCTTCAACCCGGCTATCAGAGCTTCATACTCAGCTTGATTATTTGAAGTTGGGAATCCCAAGTTCAAGGAGTGTTCAATTGTTACTCCTTTTGGTCTTTCTATTATGATTCCAGCTCCACTTCCTTTATTGTTAGAGGATCCATCCACGTAGACCTTCCATGCCCCCCCAGACTCCTCATGTTCCGGGATTAATGGCGTCAGCTCCATTATGAAGTCGGCCAGAGCTTGTGACTTGATGGCCTTCCGACTTTCATATGCTATTGTTGGGTGGTTTGTTGATGGTGGAAAAATATAAGTTCTGATAGGGGACGTTCTTCTATTCGTACAGAACAAAGATTCGTCCCTCAGTTCCAACCCAAGTGTGCAAGTGCACGCATCAAGTAATAAAGGGAGTATTAATGCCCAAATTATCGTTCCCACGAGGATAGAGTGCTAATTATTGTTTTATCATTGTTTATAAAGAGTGAAAATGAGAAGAAAAGTTAGTAAATGAACTGTCTGGTCAAACGTTCCCTACTGTCTTGACAACTTTCCTCAGGAATAGTAGGTTCAACCTGATGGCAAACAGTTGCTCGCTGCGTTATGTATGTGATCCTTCCTGTTTAGAAGAAGGTGAGATAACAAACATTGGAGTTTTATAAGTACTAAATAAAATAAAATAAAATTACTAAACCAGAAATAACTATAATCAAGAGACAACAGGGTGGTGGTTAAAACAGTTTAACAGAAGGAACGGATTCACTGCTTCACTCTTAAAGGGGTTGTTTTCTCTGCTCAAGACTTAGCACCTTTTGGCTTTGTCCCAGTTTCTTTGCCTGCCAACTCTGATTCTTCAGCTCATGGTCTAGATGGCTCACAAGTTTTCATATTCCTATGGCTCCCTTGACTCCAACAGGTACTTAGTTTAAAACCTTAAGATGAACGAGTTGGTCCCTTATTCCTAAGGTGACCAGTAGCGTTTTTGCCATGTCATCTACCTTCCCCCAATGGCTAAGCTGTCCGAAATTCCTTCCTTATGGAAGTTCCTTTCTCAGTATGTACCCAATTTCCATTGGCGCACAATGAATATAGCTTACTCAGCCAAAGAAATACAAAAAGCTTCAGTCAAGAGTTTTGAAAACAGTTCTTTAAGAGTTTCACAGTTTACCAGTTCCACAGATAGTTCAGCTCATGGCTGATAGTTTAAACATAATTATTATCAACTGAGATCACATAGACCCGAGATTCAGTCAAGAGATAACGATTGGAATGAAGAGAAAAATACTTATATTAAAATAAAAGACAGTTTACAAAAAGAAACAGAAAATGGAGAAAGATGGGTAATTGCTCGTGAAGAGTCTTGATGGTTGTTTACAGAGAAGGGAAGAGGGGTTGTCACTTAACTATAATTACAACTGAAAATTAAACTAAGCTACTAACTACTACTAAGTGATCTCTTCCATTCGGACTGCAAACCCTCCAGGATTCGATGATGTTTTTGTGTGAGGGAGGTCCTATTAATAGCTGGAAGAGGAATGGCAAGGCTGTAATTCCCTTGGAGCTAGTTGCTTGAATGAGGGGACGAGACGGTGACAGCAGAGTGTGAAGCTTGCGTGAATTGCTGAATGGAACATGGTTTGGTGATGATTAGCCGTTGTTTGCAGGCCTTCCCATGTTTTGCTTCTGTTTTCAGCCAATGAGAACTCTTGATTCCCTGTTCTTCACTTTTCCAGCTGCTCAGTTGGTGCACCGCCTTGCTCTTTAGAAGTCTTTAACTCTACGTTGCCTGCAAAGTGTACATAAGCATTAAATGAATGGAGCAGGTGCATTAAATGCGTCTCAGTCTGTTCCCCTTTTAATATATTTTAAAGGAATACGTTACCATCCGTTCCCCCACTGTGTTTTTGTCACAAAAGTGTAAAACAAGTGATTTTCATGCTGAAGTTGCTCATCAGATGAGGGAACGTATGGTATTTTGCCATCAAAATAGGCTTAGAAGGGAACGAATTCACGTCCCATCAAACACTCCAAAACTAAACTGTCGGTTGTCCTCAAATAACTCAGAAATATATTATTGGTCTGCCCAATTTAAAAGAATAGCATAACAAAAGGAACTTGAGCCAGTGAGCAACCATGAACTTTTCAGAAAATGAACTACTCTTCATAGTAAACAGTAAGAGGATTCTGTCCCCAGATAAGAGAAGGTTGCTGATCTTTTGTCTCACTGCAACTCATGGGATGGTGTTTGCTCTGTCCATTCCTGGATGTGATTCTTCAGAACTTGCCTTTCTGCTGCGTTCCTATGAAGTACAGCTGTCTTCCGTTCCAAGGATTCTTTGATGGGTAAGTGTATGGAAATATGGAAGAAGTGGTGGTCTGATTTGTGGGACCAAGGAACATTTAGATTTTGTGTCTTTGAACTTGGACTTTTTCTGTTTTTGAGGGAACACCTTTTTTTGAACCTTTTTCCCCTTTTGGAGGAAGGTTTTCTGGTTTTTCTTGAATTCTTTTGAATGGTTGTTCCTATTTTTTTCTTCTTTGTTTTTCTTCTGTCCCTTTTTTTTTGTTCATTGTTGAGTACACTCCTTGTTCTTTTTGATTGACCAGATGGTGTATGATGGAGGTGAGGTGAGTGTGTGATTCTGTTTTGATCCTTGACAACAGAATTCATCTGTCTTCAGCAGTACTTACAGCATTAAGGCAAGCTGAGAAGTTTCATTGTGATTACACCTCAGGAACGCTCTCAAAAGTAGGTGTTTGGCATTTTTCGTTCCTTACCAGTTTGAGTTCACACAAATCAGCCTCTTTCAAAAATCTGAGGATTAAATTCCCTGCACTGTTTCTATTTTCAAGTACTCAGAGAAAGAACAAGTATGATTAGTCAGTGACTTTGTGTTTCATGTATGTTAGTTAATCCAAAAGAATTGGGCAGTCTTAATACTACAACTGAAATGCATGTATATACCAAACAGTTTGATCAAAAAGTCTTTTCTATTTCAAAAAGATTAATTACAAGGGAACAGAAAGAAAAAGAAATTAAAAATAGAATTGAAAAACAACTAAACTAAGATAAATAGAAGGGTTTCTCCTTTTCATTGAAGAGGTCTCCTGTCCCAAGGGTTCCTCTTTGCAGCTTCAGCTTCCTTGGCCTCATCAATCTCCTCCTGTGTTAGTGGTCTCCTCCTGAGCAGGTCTTGCAATCTGCGGACTTCACTTACAGGGAGCCATTTTTCAGCATCCTTCAGTAGATTGCTGATGATTGCAACCAGGGAGTTGATGGTGGACCTCATCATGGTTCTGCTAGTGCGGTAGTGGATGACTTGTTTTTCAACATCCAGCAGTCTCATTTCCAACTCATAGATTCTCTTCTCCAGATATGTTCTAAAGGCCCTGATGGCTTCTTTGGTTTCCTTACGTTCTTCAGCTTGTTTGGAGACGAGCCTGTTGAGTAAGAGCTCTGCTATGTGGTTGCGTAGAGAGTTGGAAAGGATTAGGGAGTTAGCTACTTTAGCAATTTCTCCTTGGACTGCTTGGAGTGTTGATTTATAGGATGCAGCACTGGCTTCCTTGATGGCTGCTTTTATGGTGCTGAGCTGTTGTTTTCTCTCCTCCTTCTGTTGTTCCTAAAAGGTGTTGAAGGCAGAGGAGAGCTGTGCCAGTTCGTCCTTTAGAGCTTTCAGCTCTTCGATAGTGCTTGTCATATCAGGTTCAGGAACGGACTTCTTGACTGGCAACCATTTTTCTAATTTCTCCCCCAGCATTTCAAACATCTCAGCAATCCCAATTTGGGATTTTCTTCTAGCTGTGATGGGGCTTGCTGCAGTAGGGGAGGAAGTAGGTTGCTTCTTCTGCTGGTTATTGTCAGTAGCAGAAGGTATGACAGGTGTTGTGCTGGGTTCATCCACTGGTGGTCTGGATGATGAGGGCATGGTCACAGCTTGTTCCTCCATCAGTGGAGGAGTTTCCATCCCTTCTTCTTCTTCCAAAGCTCTGGCAAGAGCTTCGTCCCCAGATGTATCGGGACGGATGACAGGAAACGACAGAGGGCCCCCCAGATTGATCTGCCTGGGGCCTGTTGTCTTTGCTTTCTTCATAGGGGGTTCTATGAAAATCCCCTTTCCTTTGTCATTTTTCTTCTGTGGCTGATCCTCTTGCTCAACCACTGATGTCTCTGCAGCAGATGCTGCTTCTTTGTCTTTCTGTCCTTCTCCTTGTTGTTTCCTAGGGGAGGGTTGTGGGGTGATTTGTGGTGGAGAGTGAGCAGGTGGTGGGGATGGAATGTCAGAAAATGTAGAGTCTGAGCTACTTGGGGATGTCTCATTTGCAGCTATTTTTGGTTCTAACTTCCTTCCAATCTTCAGCCTTTTTGCTAAAGGCTCACTCTCCTCCTCCTGGTCAGGGAGGGTGATAGGCTTTGCAAAGGGTGCTCCCTCTGGCCTATTGCTGTTGAGGACCCTCTTTATCCTCTGACTTGAACGTTCCCCTTTTTTTAGGGGAGGTTTGGCAGGAAATTTCTTCTTGCTCTGCTTGCCATCAGTAGCAACAGGGGCATCCTTCTTCACCTTGGTAGGAGGAGGGACGGTTCATCTGGCCGGAACGTGGCCAGAGGAAGACGATTTTGTAGGGGTGGTCTTCTTCAGTGAGGCCACATGTGTTTCCTCCTCACTATCTCTGGTGGGGGAATGTCTGAGATTGGCAGGAATAGGTTGGGTGGTGTCAATGTAGGTGTTTTTAAGACCGTTCCAGGTCTTAGCATCAAGAATAGATTCCACCTTTGTGGTGTCATCTGGGTGTTGCTCTACACCAGCTCTCCTGCAGAGTTTGGTGATGAGGCAGGGGAGGAAGACCTTAGTCTTCCTTATGTCCCTCTGCAAGCTGTTGTAAATGAAGGTTACTGCATCAAAAGGGTTATGCTTGATGATGCAGTAAATTTGAACTTGAAGTCCCCAGCTAGCAGAGGCTTCATGAGAGGTGGGGGTGATGTTGGAGTTGGCAAACAGTGCCCAGAACCTGGCTATGTCCTTCATGCTCCCCTTGCAGAGGGACCCTTTGTAGTAGTTGGGATTGTCCGTGGCTACTGTTTGCTTCAGATCCTTCTAAAATTTGTACACCTCCCTACTATCCAAATACTCTTGGTATGGACAGTTGGTGACGGAGGGAAGGTGGAGTACTTCCTGGACATCAGCGGGGGAAAATGATACTTGTTTTCCCCTCACTGTGACCATATC